ATACGTGTATCAAGTATTAGTCTTCAGGCATATTCTCATTCTGTTCCTGCAATCAATCTCACAATTACAGCGTATTGTTGCTTGATCTTTAACTTTGGATTATTTGGATCCAGAGCTAGAATCACAGTAGGCGGCACATGTCCATAGCTGCTCATCTCTCCTTTCCAGCGTCCACCCCAGGGTCTTCCTGCAAATACTATTTGTCTCCATGAGTAACTGGTTCGAGACACGCCTGGCCACTCCTCGGAGCAAACGTTTTTCCCCTGTGCTCCCGCACACACTTTTCCTTTATTGTGCTGAGTCACGAGTGTGTGGGAGTCTCCTCTTGGTCGTGAAGGCTCTCCTTGCATCTGGCGATCACCACTGGTGGGTCGAGCATGATTTGGCCATTAGGTGCTGCTTTGCCGGCAGGTTAATTTTACATACCGATAGTTTTTTCTAGTCCATTTGATCTATTTATGCAGCCAAAGATTCTCAATTGTCTTTTTCTGATGGTTCCGACTGATTATGGAACTTTCACATCCTGCCATTTTGAGCACTTCTCTGTTTGTTTTCATCTCTGTCCATTAGACCTGAGTAACGGACACAAAAAGGGAAGGATAAGGACGATAGCTATTTGATAGTAGAAGAATGAGTAAACAACACAAGAGTAGCCTACCTGCCAAGCAAACACACCCTTGGCCGGGGCTCTTGTGGTCTTGAGCTAAAGGTGTTCGCTTCTCATTCAATAAGTCCTGGGTTCGAAACCTGACAGCGACGGGGAAATCCGAAATTCACTTTTTCAAAAATGCTCTCATTTCCTGCTCTCTAGCAATGTTCAGTCGCTTGTTTTCGTCTCCACCTTCGTCCCCATCCCACTTTGCCCCTTCCTCTGGACTCCTGACTCCTTCTGCAAGCCTTTCTACTGTTTCTCCTTGGCTCCTTCTTACTACAGTCTTCCAGCCACACCCCTGATCTCAGAGTACAAATGTATAAGTAAGATCTAGACTAACAACACCTGGTCTTCTCGGAAAAAAAGGCGAAAATGTTCGGAAGTCCCGTGTTGCAAGTTGCTCCAGTAAAGACCTCTCGGTTGTTCAAAATCGATAAGATTCAGCCGCCACCCGGGCAAAATTCAAAAATATTTCCTACCAAAACCAAAACATGTTTAATAATGTGTCCCACGTGCTCATATTATGACCTTATGCATTTGCGAGCGCTGTAAAACACTTACAAAAACAAAACAACACCCTTGGCTCAGTCCTCTCATTTGCGGTGGGTAAATAAAATGCTTGTGTGCAGTAAGGATGGCTGTTGATTTATGAAGAGATCCTCAATGAAGGACTGTATTTGTCAGCGTTTTTGTGGGTCAGTCTTCGTGTGGATGAATATGTTCTGGAATATAGTAATAACAGTTGAACTAACAATATAATACACCCTTTTACAAGTCAAGTACAGTCGGTCACAGACAACACGAAATCACAGATCATTATCATCCGGTGCCTTGTCGACTGGCGTGGCGTGGGCGATCACGGACCTCCACTTCACTCTGTTTGTCTTGTGTTGCAGCGATTGTGTCTGTTGTTCTTGCTGTTCCCAGCCATGTTGTCAACCTGTCCCCAGTATCTTTTCCCTCGGTCTGCCTCTGCCCCTCTTTCCATTATACGTGCCTGTTGTTACAATATTATTCTCCAATCTTTCTTTCCGCATTGTGTGTCAAATGAACTTTGCCTGTCACTTTCATATATTCGTCATAAGCTGTCGAAATCACAGACAGCTTGTACAATTTGCTATTCCCCAACTGACCTCTCTTTAATTGTTCGATGGTTTACCCGAATTATGGATATATCGAACACATAATTTGTCAACTCCCGACATGTTTCAGTTATCAATGTCCAACTGTAGGCATACTGGTACTGTATGTTTCTTTAGCTTTTGTCTGAACTGATGAACTCTGTTTAACATTGATTGACCATTTTTTAATGCAAACTGTGACCAGTAAACTTAAAAAGTGTTGACTGCTTGAGGAATATTTCCTTACAGAGATGTAAATGCTTTAAACAAGTATCGCAGTGTACATGATGGCTTACGTTTCGCTTTAGTCTGAACACAATACAGTGGAGTCCACTTATAACGAGTCCGGAAAAAACGAGAAGTCTGTTATAAAGGCACTATTCTAAAACACCGGGTTTTTTTCTCCTCTTTACCTTTGTAAATAAAATACTGCTATATATATATAGCGCTATCAGACAAACACGCGAGTCGGGTATAGCGGAACATTGCTGCTGCGGTGCACAGCACATAGGCCAATTATACATAATTATAATGCAAAATCTGGCCAGTTGAGAAACTTGTTAGTGATCTTGCGTAATAAAGAATAGGAGAGCACATGTGGTTCAACAATGAAGGCCGGAGCAACTGAGTAGGGAGGGTGTGGTATGCGCAGATAAGCAGAACGTATCGCATGATAGGCCAGCGTAAGCCTAGTTCTGTCCCTGTCGGATTATGCGATTGTGCGGCCGATTTTTCGCGTAATTTTCCAACATTTGCAAAATTTTGGATTCCCTGCGTTTTTTCACGTTTTTTCCTTTTTTTCTCACAAAACAATTAATTAACGCCTCGCCATGTGACTGAAGGGAAGTAATCACCGTAATAAGTCTCATTTAAGTGACAAGTTGGTTATTTCCCTTATTATAAGATCTTCGTATAAGTTATAGGTTCGGATTTTGTTCCTTGAGCATGTTCAGTTTTTCAATCCATCAAAAGTTGTTCTCATGTCTGCTGATGTTTCATGTTTGACATGTGTCCCTGGTTTTAGTAATGTGCCAGCATGAGAGGTCCAGGTGTCCTTCTTTTTTTTTTTTTTACATTTTTCTTTCCTCTGTAGAAGTAGAAGATCTAGATCTACAACTGAAAGTTACAGAGATTATATTTTTTTGTTGTTTTTTTCTGACTGATGTGTATTGTTTTCTTTCCAAATACACAACATGTTAACAAATTACTGATACTGATTGTTGTGTTTACCTCAAGTCCAGATGCGGAACCGGAAGTCTCGCTCGCCTACTTCCGTGGGTCCCCTCGGGTTGCCAAGTTGTCCGTTTGACGTTTGGTGCCAAAGTACATATAATACTACATCTCCCTACCTAAAGTAGTGGTGTCCCTTCACTAAAACTCTCAATGTTTGTCGAGTACCAATGAAATGTAAATCTGGATCTAGATCTATACACTTTGCAAACTGTCTTGTTTGCGCAATAACTCAAAGGCGACGAGGAAATAAAAGTGGAACGAAAATGAAAATAAATGTTCAAAGACAAGACTCAGCTCCTGTGAGTTGTCCTTATATTATATCTCTCCCTGCTATGTTTTACAAGTCAAGCCTCTGAGGTGGCTTGATTGTCCTCCCGAAGCTGCTGGTACTGGTAGCTCGAGGAGTTAACGGCTGTTGTTGTAGATGCACAGGTGGGGGCTCGCTGTGAACCACCGGAGTATTCTGTATCTGTTCGTGGTCTTGCATGGGTAGGCCTATAATTTGTTCATCCTGAGGATCAGTTGGTATGGGGGCTTTTCTGTTCCTCCGTGTTG